AAGCCGGATGCAGACGTGGACACAGGAGGCTCTCGCTGCGATCGCAGCGAGGGGACTTCGCTGGATCGCAGGAGAAGGCAAGGGACGCTGCTGTGCTGCTCTGCAAGAACCTGGAGCATTAACCCCGAGTGTGACTCGGGGATACCGCTCCTGGCAGCGAATTTTTACCCCGAGTCACACTCGGGATTACCACTAGCCAGGTTAAGGTCCATCTTTGAGGAGAAGGTGCTATAGGAAATTTTAAATACCATGTTCAGGAAGAGCTACTGCAATGGCTTCAGTATCAAAAGAGAAAATGGGTTCTTCAAGCTGAAGCAAGGAAAGAAAAGAATCACAAAGCACATGAGATGGAAAGGTCTGGTGCTTTTTCATCTTCAGTTGGTGGATTCCTAAGAAGAGCTCAAGTATCTCTGCTTGATTATCCATGGCAAATTATACAGGTATGGGTAGCCCTTGACAAACTGACTCTAGGCATGATAATGTGTAGGAAGATTTCTTAACTTGATTTCCTCAGATTGAAGAGACAGCAGATCCAGGCCTCTTTCGTGTCTGGGCCCTTGTGGGAACAGAGCTTCATTTTGTGCGACTAAATGTGCCACGCATCTTCTATGTGAACCAGAAGACACCCAGGGAAGAAGAATTGGGTGCCCTCTGGCGGAAAGCCTCAAAAATTCTGCCTCGTAATCACCAAGCCCTCCATCTCTATCAGTATGCTGTACCTGAGGTCCTGTTCCAGCAACATTGCAAGTTAGGGTCTTTCTGTCTCATATTTCAATGAGAGTGTGTTGCATTTTCTAGTAATGACTAATGACAATATGATTTGGTCTATTTAGTCAGCTGGTGGCAGATCTGTCATCGCCAGACATAGAAGGAATCTATGAGACCCAGGTTCCATTACTCTTCCGCATCCTTGTGAGCTTGGGATGTCTCTGTCGAGTGGACCCAAGCCAAAGGCAGATCTTGTCTCGCAATGGCATTGGAGTGACAAAATCATTTGAGTTGAACAATCTTCTCTTCTGTACAACAGCACAGAGTTCTTATTTGGAACATGGCTCCATTCAATATGCCTTCCTCTATCTTGTCAAGTTAGCCTATGTTGAATATGCATGCATCTGGTAACCAGGTATTTTTCAGGGATTATGCAGTCATTGTCCTTTTTGGGATTTAGGTATGATAAAAAGGGGATTATGGGCCTGGTCATGCCTTCACTGAACAGAGGAGTTGTGTATGGTGTTGACACAGTGGCAACTAACCAGATGCCAAATCTCACAAGCCTGTTCAGGGCAGAAAGGAATGTGAGGTGAGCACAATTCCCTGGACAGTGTCAGTTAAAAGAAAAATTATACATGTCTTCTTTCCTATCATCTATATAGGATAGAGAAAGGACACGGAGAGGAAACTCTACCAAGTTCTAACATCAAATTTGAGAGCCATATTGTGACCAGTGAAACTGATTTTTTTCGGAGAATGAACCTGGAACTTCAGGCATTCAAAGATGAGAAACGAGGTCCTGCCATGGTCATTGTCCAGGCCAACACAGGTAATAAAAATTATTATATATATGCATGTTAGTACTGGTTTTTACAGTGTCCAGCTCAAAAAATGCCTGTGCATTGTCTCCTTTGTCAGAATTGGGAGCATTGGTGGGAAGCATGTCGGGCTTGCAAGAGTTTCCGTGTGTTCCACTCCATATTTCCCAGGATGATGACTTGGGCCTATTTCAACTGGATTGGCAAAGGCAAGTGTCTCGATCTTTTCTGCAAGCCTTCCTCCGCCTCCCCAGACGTCTGGCTGCTCTGCTAGAACATAGTAGATACCTCCATGTCCCGGTTGGAAATCTTCCTGGTGATCTTGCCATATTTGGATCAGATCTCTTCTACGCTCGGCATCTGCAACGTCATAATGCCATCCTTTGGGTCTCTCCTACTGAAGTCCCTGATCTTGGAGGCAGAGAAGATGAAGATCTCAGGTTTTTTTTTTTTTTTACCCATTGTAATCTGGAGTTAGGAAGATCATTTGATCATCCCTTTGCATTGTTATATCACAGGTTGATGTGCTGGATGGAAGATGAACAGCAGGAGGAACAAGGGATCAACAAGTCTGGCTGCTATGATGGGGTCTGCGTTGAACTGGAGATTGACTGTCTGCCTGTGGCAGCCCTCCTTCAAGCTCCTCATATTCATGAAGGAGAAGGTGAAAATTTATATTTTTTAGTTTCTGCTATACCAAGTACTGAAATTCCCTTGGATACACTACTGGTAGCAAATATCCACATTTCTGGACACGGGTTAATAAATAAAGCCCCAAGGAGTTGGCTCATTGAAGCACATTGCTCTTTCTTGTCCTTTTAATTGATTGCTGTTTATTCATTACTTCTGGTGGTCTGATTCAAGATTTTTACTCATTCAAAATTGGAAGTTCTCAATTGAGAAATCTCCTTTATATGATATATTCTTTCTCAAACTTAGTGAATGGGATCTATGCATAGATGACAATTCATCTGTGTCAATGCAAGATATACTGTAGCACTACTATGAGGAACTTTCCAAGCTGGTAATTTTTTAATGATAAAGATTAAGTTGGGCTCTTGAAGTTTGAAATTCCTATATTTCAATGCAGAATCCTGTTGTGTTAATTATTTCCAGACCCTTTTTATTATTTGCATTTATAAAATACTGTATTTACTTGAGTATAGTGTGCCACCATGTATAAAATGCACCCCTGCTTTTGAGGTCCCAATTTGAGTATTAAAAAAAATATATATATATTCCATGTATTAGGTGCACCCCCCTATTTTGTGACAAAAAGTGTTGATCAAGGGAGATGAATAAGAGGTAGTCAGTTGTGAGGTCGGTTGAACCTCATTTCTCATTCATTGTCCTGACCTTTATTGAGGGGGGTCAGTCATCCTTCAGTGTCCCTAATGTTTGTTTTATTATCTGTGAAATTGGATGAAAATGTATGGCAAAGTTACACAGCTGCAGAGAAGTCAATGTGATTCAGGAAGCGAAGGAGTTGGTCATCCATGCAATAGGTCGTAAGTATGGCATTGAGGAAAGCTGTATACAGAAGAGGATGGAGGTGAAGGCAAAATTGAGCTGGGCTCTAAAGAATCTCATGGGCTTTCATGGGGAAAAAGGGATCATTTCTGGTAATCAAGAAGGAAGTGGCCAAATATGTGAAAGAGTGAGTCTGTACTTGTGTAGTAAAATCCTCAATGAAGCATACTGTGTAAACATTTAACTTCGTTCTGGTGCTGTTTGCCAGTTTTTGGCCTTAAAAGGATGGTCTATTTGTAAAACTAGAATGATCTAGATGCAAACCTGTACGATTGCAAGAGCAAACAGGATCTCCTATAGAAAATTCAATGCATCATGATGTGAGTTGGATTTTCTTTTCGTTGGAAAACCTCAGCGGCTCAAAAATGTTAGGGAAAAATTATTGTCTCTGGAAAGGCTCAGAGGAGGAGGATGAAAGCTTCGCGAATGAATTTTCCATGTTGCCAGACACCTCAGATTCCAATTCCAATACCAAATTAAGTCTGCAAATCTATGTACTCCCTGTTTACTGTTTTATTATAATATTATATTTCCCCTGTTCTGACTAACTGCCGACACTGTTTCCACTGCAATAAGTGACCAATGAGTTATAGGTATGCTGAAAAATTTTTTCTTAAAAAGGAGAATTTTTTCACTCAAGTATAAGACACACCCCTTCATTGAACATAATAAAAAACAGGGTGTCTCAAAAAAAGTTAATGCTGCTTGATTCAAATTTTCTTGAATTACACACAACTTAAGAAAAATTCTTTCCACTGCCATAAAGAAGGAAGATTAAGCTTTCGTTTGCTAAAAACCACATGAAAAGCGATCAATTCCGAAGCGAGATGTGGGAGACTTAAAAGTAGACTAGAGGAAATTTACTAACTTTCACAATGCCATTGAAGGATATGTTCAAGATCTGCCTCTCTTACACGCCAGTACACCTTCAGCCACTTAATAAAATTCTTGATGGCTGGTTTTCTTTCTGCATTGATTTTTGGGACTTCTATACAATTTTGCAGCTAGATGCATCAAAACCAGCAGTCCAGTACAGAATTGCACACATTGACAGAAAACTCATAGATCATTAGTGCATTCACAAGTGCCTCTATTGCTGCAACCTTAACCAGGCCACTTCCTTTGATTTTTTTATTCTTCTGGAAACTGCATGAAAGTTGAATAATTTTAAAGAGAAATATTCAAAGACAACATTTATATCTGCAAAATTCAGTCACTCTAATGAATCACTGCAAGCTGTCTAGCCGAAGATTCAGCAATGGTGGCAATAGAATGTGCAAGAAATTCACACATTTTCAGTCACAGCTTGCAATTATGCACTGAACTGCTGGTTTCGGTGCATCTAAAAGCAAAATTGCAAATGAATCTCAAAAATCAATGGATACATTTTAAGGGGCTGAAGGTGTATAGACGATGTGTTAGAGAGGCAGACCTTGAGCGTATCCTTCAATGGCATTGTGAAAGTTAGTAAATTTCCTTGAGTATAATTTTTAGTCTCCCATATCTCGCTTCAGATTTAATAGATTTTTATGTGGTCCTTAGCAAACAAGAACTTTATCTTCCTTCTTTATGGCTGCAGACAGATTTTTTTTTTAAGTTTTGTATAATTCAAGAAAAATGGACTCAAGCAGCATTAACTTTTTTTGAGACACCCTGTATGTATTGAATAAAAAAAAAAAGAAACAAACATGCACCTTATACAAGAGTAAATACCATATTTATTGTAGGCAAATTTTTTGCGGCCCCATGATTATAACTGTTTTACTGTTGCAGTTCTAGAGTGTTCTGAAAATATACATTTCTCACCCCTTTTTGCTGGTCATACGATCATAGAAATCATTTTGAATCAAGACTGTGACTGTGACTGGGGATTTTCAGCTTTGGCTCTAATGGAACTGCAGTGGGTTGAACTGCTTCACTTATGATAATTCATGATAATTTTGTCTTCAGGGTTTATGCTATTCTTGATGTCAAGGGAGGTGCTTACTATCTGAATATGAAGAGGAAAATCCTTGTGGTCCCTCTGTGGTGGCATTTTATTTGTAAATATAAAGCCCTTTTGTTTTCATTTCTTTTCCTGTCAACTGTAATTGGATCCCTCAACTTCCAGGTTCCAGTTGGAGTATTTCCTTTGAGGCAGGATCCATTGCACCCTCTATTGAGTCTTTATTTGGAGCTGAAGGGTCAGGAAGTGCTGGGCCCCAGACCCCACTTGCAGGTGGTGCTGTGTGTGGTGCTGCTCTCAGGGTTTTACGGCAGATGGTTGCAACTTGGCTGAGGGATGTTGCCCTTCACCAGAATGCACATGCTGATCTCTTAATTGTTCACTTCTACAGGTTCTCTCTTGACAAGTGACTCTGTTATGACAGTATCATAGGTCCACACTCTTAATGCCTGTGTATTATTATGTAGGTGGCTACATACTCCAACGGCTTACCTGTATGACCCTGCCCTCCGTCGAGTATTGAGGAGTCTTACAAGGAAGCTATTCTTACGTGTTAGTGAATTGCAGTAAACAGTATCTCCCTTATAACATCATGTATGTTTGCTTTCATTCACTAGAGGCTTTTTTAAATCCTAGCTTGTGGGAGAGCTGCACCGCTTGGGGGCAACAGTCATCTATGGAGATTTTAGTCGATTAGTGATCTATACTAAGAAGTTTGAAGTCCAAGATGCACTATCATATGTAACATATATCACAGAGCGCATCAGGGAACAAGAACTATTCCGCAGTATTCAGCTCTCTCCTGTTCATTGCTGGGAGTATCTTCTATGGCTTGATCATGTGAGTCTCCTTTTGTTTATCATTTTGAACTGAGTTATGAGAATGGATCAAAGGCATTTGTTTTGGTACTACTACCAGGCTAATTACGGAGGTGTGCGTTCAAAGCTGGATACAAACCATGAGAGGCAACAGAAAGGTTTGAATGGAGAGTCAGAGGAAGTTATCCGTGTTAGTCAGAAAGAGCAAGATGAAGAAGTGGAAGATGATGAATCTGTGAGATTTCATTTTCATTTTCATTTTCATTGCTCAGCAAACAAAACATGATGTTATAGCAAAAGTCCTACTGGTGTGCTGCTGTAGGAACATATTGTTATCATCATATTACAGTTTGGAGATGATAATTTGTGGGGGAAATTGTCCACAACTTTGTCAACAATTTGGGAATGTAATTATTAGGCCATTGTAATTATTCCAAGACATGTCAAACCATGCCAACTATGACAGGCTCGGCACCTACATGTTGGACTTTGAACATCCCCCAAATCAGCAATGTCTCTGATTACAGTATTTTACAAAACCTAGAATAAAAGTAGGGCTTCAATTTCATTCCATAAAATCTAGATGTAACATCATAAATTCCATCTGGAATCTCTTGGTTTTGATCTCTTTGGCTTCATCCCACTAGAGTGCTTTACTGAAGGTTCCTTTTAAAATGGCTTAAGTGCCTTTACCTGTTATATGATGGGTATTGGGCCCTAAGTGTTAATATTACATGATTTATATTTCTCCACCAGAATGCAGACCTTTGCAGGACAGGCTATATCAATGTAGAACAAGTTAGCAGCTGAAAATAGGATTTGGATTACACCAGGCAACATGGAACTGGTGAATCCTACTGGTGGGGGTCATTTGAATTTCACTATTTGCTTGTGTTCCACTAAATTCTAAATGTTCATGTAATTCAGGTCATCCACACATGTGAAGTACTTGATTGTATCTGCATACTTTGATTTTAAAGGTTTCCATGATTCTCATTTATGTACAAGGGGACTCGAGTGTTATCACCTGAGTTCTGAACTCATTATAATACGTGCAGCACCAAAAATACAAGGGAGAAAGCCTTGTCATTATCCTGCTGGTAGTGCCAGTTGGCAAGGTGAAGCTTGATGAAGTATGGATAAATAGCAATTTCCTTGTTTAAAAATTTTTTGTCATTTGCAGTCTGAGATTGAGATGGCGTGGCAGATGGGTCTTGCACTTCCAGATGAAGCATCGTGTCGTATGAACTTCATAACAGTTGTGGCCTCATATATAACTGCCATTTATGAAACTGGCAAGGAGCTCCACTTGACTCAGTCTCAGATGAGAGTCACAGGAGATGAGAATCCTGTGATAAAATTTGCACGAGAACTTGTCACAGGAGAACTGTCACAGAAAGTTTTTGAGTGAGCACTCAATGCCTATTTATGAAGAACTAGGCAGGTGATGTCCATTTATCCACTTTGTGCTTGACTCCTTAGAGTGACACAGAAGACACAAAAGAAACTCACTGGGTGGAAGCCTCCATCACTGAAAGAGCTAGAGAAGGCTAATGATGTGAAACCTCTTTGGGCCAGACTTGCTCAGCATTCCAATCCCACATTGCAGTTTGTCAAGGCCCTCTGCAAAGTATGGCTATTGCAGTATTGAAATGCTTTCCTAGATGTGCCTTTGTGGACTGATAGCTGCCACACTTTCTCCCAATTTAGGTCCTGTCTCTTGATTCCAAAGTAGAGGAGGAAGTGATGAGGTTGAAGAAGAACCTTCTCCAACTGATAGGGGTTGGAGAGTTTAGTCCTGAGGCACAGTGGGCTCTGGAATCTCCACCTCCTTTCCCAACTCCTGAACTTGTCTGTTCAGTTTGTAATCAGGCAAGGACTTTGGATATCCTGAGAGATCCTCATCAAGTCCTCATTAATGACAGGTATTATAACAATCCCTCATTTCGGAGTTGGGAACCAATATGCCCCTCAAGGCTTAAACAGAATAAATTAAAAGAGCATTATATTTAGCAAAGTCACATCCAGCAAAACTATTTTGTATTACTGGCAAATATCCGTAAAATAGTGTTATGCAAAATTCTTATTTTTAAATTTAACGTTACAAATGAGTTTTGCAATATGTTGCTCATCTGAATGTGTGCATTTTACCTTTGACCTTTATTGTACAGATTTATATCTCCTGCATAAGTGCTGGCTGTCAGATTTTTTTATCTTAAGCTCCTAAACATTTGCTAGCTGATTAGTGCAACTGTCCTAAAAAATAAACAGTTGATAGTGAAGTCATTATTGACAGAGTATCAGAACATTTTCCTAAAAAATTACAGTACAGCATTTGTACATGGTCATGGAAAAAGGCATTCTGTGACATAAAAGTGGCTTTTTGGCTGGTTAAGGTTAAAGGTATGAGGGCTTGTAAGTCTAGGTTTACAGAGAACAAAAGAATAGAAAGCATTAAATTAGACAAGTTGTTGAAATCAGTCAGAAGTGGTGGCACTTGTTCTTTGATTCTGGCCTTTCTTGAAGGGATCCAGTGTTCTTTGAGTAAGATCCAAAAGGTATATGTCCTGAAATCACTTTGGTTCCAAGTCATGATCTTCCAGGAGTTCTTAAGACCTATTATCAATAGATGATTTTGAAGAATTCCTCAACCCAGTTGCTGCTTATTTCTGCCCCTGGAATGATTGTAACTTTTACTATGTAAAAGTTACATCAATCCTCGTCATGGATAAAGCAGAACCATCAGAAAAGCAAGTGACTCTGGAGGTAATTTAAATTTCTTCTTATACCTTCCAGCAATATAAAGCCCAAAATATGCATTTCATTGATGATTGAGGTTTTTCATTCAAGCATTACTGTAATTCATTGTAAATTTCACAGTAATGACTACAATTAAAGTGTAACATCCTGGGTTGTTCAGCTGGATTTTACAGATACCTGATAAGGATAATAAAGTTAAGGCCATATACTTCAGTGAGAGTCAAGGAAAAGTACTCAAGCCACATACCTTGCCAGGTCTCCTTCACATGAATGCACTTTGTTACAAACCTAAACCACAGCTGATACTGTCCATGGAGAATGTTTTCTTTGACTGCTTGTACTTGTGACATATTTTCAGTGATAAAAGTCAGCAAATAAATTTGCTACAATGAATTATCATATTACCAGTGAAATAATTTCTAGTCCAATGGATTTATTTATTCCCACCCAGGCCAGAATGGTACTGTCCAGGATGTCGAACACCCTATGATATGAATGCCATTGAGTATCAGCTGGTTGAGAGGGTCAAGAGAACTCTAGTCTCATTCACACTCCAAGATCTGAAATGCAAACGCTGCTCAGAGGTAGTTTTTTTGCTGCTGCTTCTTATTTTCAGGAATATTTGCTTGCTTCAGATCTATCCTGTATCATGTGCTATATATTTCCAGGTGAAAGCAAGCAACATGGGGCTGCACTGTGACTGTGGCGGGAATTACATGTGTTTAACACCAGCTCATGAAGTGAGGGAGCAGATGCTTCTCTTTAACTGTGTTGCCAAGCACTACAAGATGCCTATCCTCAACAACATGGTGGAGTGGATTCTGTCTTTCAATAGCAGGAAATCACAGTGAGCCTTTATCTCTTCATTGACTTTCCACTTCATGTGATAGTCTTTCAATGATGTGACATTGACATGTACATTGTGGTCTCTTTTATGGAATATATTCCATGGTTTTTGAGCTATATGATGCATTTAAAGTGTAGGCATAGTATCTGCTATAATCACTCTAGTTCTAAAGAAAAAGTCAAATTATATACAAAACACACACCTCAATAAAGAGTAACAGCACATAAAACTGGCTAGCTCATGCATGAAGTAAAATTTAAGAAAAGAAGTGACAAGAGAATTATGCCCTGAGAGAAATTGACCAGGAATCAAACCTGTAGCAGATACATTCTACAATGACAATACTATACTCTGTAAAATTGGCTTGCAATTAGAAAAATATCTTATACCCTTTTTTTTTTTTACTGATTTCCTCCTACTAGCAGGGAAGGCACAAAGATACTTGAAAGAATTACTCATCCCCAATTGAATTACATGCTTACAAGTATTGACAGTATTGTCACATATCTAGTGTCAGTGGGCTCATCATCATGAGCTAGAGCTTGGACTGCAGAGAAGAACGTAGGAAGCGGCGAAGTATCTTCCCACTTGGGGACTTGGGAATTGCATCAGTAATAATCACACCTCCTCTCAGTCTCTTGTGGGATGACACTCTCTCTAAAATGTGTTAAGAGATATCAGACAGCAATGTAGATACACCTGAGATGAACTTGGAAGTGGGGAAAAGAGGTGAGATACTCACTATCAACAAAGCTCTGGATATCATTTGGCTTGAGGTTGGAACCAGACTTGAGAACTACAAAAGCAGTTGGGAGTTCTCCAGCTGCAGTGTCAGGTCTCCCAATTACAGCAGCATCTATCACCTCTGGATGTGTGAGGAGGAGACCTTCTAGCTCTGCTGGAGCAACCTAACAAGAGATATGTACAATAAATAGTCTGACAATTTCACACAACCCACTGCATAGTATTCCTGTTTCCATACCTGGAACCCTTTGTGCTTTATGAGTTCCTTGATGCGATCTATAATGTAGAAGTATCCATCTTCATCCACTTTGCCAACATCTCCAGTGTGGAGCCAGCCTGAAGAATCTATTGTAGCTGCTGTCTCAGCTTCTCTCCTCAAGTATCCTTTCATGAGCTGAGGTCCTCGAATGCACAGTTCTCCCTCCTTCAATTCTGTCTTCCCTGTTTCTATATTGGTCAACTGTAAACAACAGTAAGTGACTTAGTAGTCTTTCTGGTCATGTTGAGTAAACAGAAAATATTGGCATATTTTATACCTTCACTTCAAAGTATGGGACAACAATGCCCACAGAACCTGGCTTGGTTTTATCTACTGGAGTAAGAAGACAAGCCAAGGGACCCTCTGTCATCCCATATCCCTAAGCATTTAAGAAACAAAAGGGTGGCAATTCTTAAACCACATGAGACAAGGATAATTTACCTAGATATATAAATGAACTTGCCTGAAGCACTGGGACTTTTAGTCTCCTCTCCACCTTCATCTGAAGTTCTCCTGAAAGAGGGGCTGCTCCACTGACAATCTTACGAAGTGAGCGAAGGTTAAAGTTATCAACAACAGGATGATGAGAGAGAACCAATGCTACTGGAGGTACCAAAGGAAGCAATGTGACCTGTAAGGAGTTGAGATATTCACTGTTGTTGATCTTTAAAATTGACTTTACTGACTTGCATTGTGGTCATAAAACTTGGCTCACATGATGTTCCTGAATGGCTGTTAACATTTCTACAAAGTCAAAATGGGGCATGACAACTAGACGATTCCCTGATTGAAGAGTTTTCGCCATGAGTGTGCAGCCATAGATATGAAACAATGGCAGGAAGACCATAACCACATCATCTGGGCTCAAATCTAAAAGTGTCTTCAAGCTGCATACAAAAGAGAAAAACATTGGTAAATCAACACCATTGTCATCCAACTCCAACTGAAGGCCTGGAAAAGAAAGCACGGACTCCATGGAAACGAGAGCATGTGTCATATTTCTATGGGTGATGAGAACACCCTTTGGGACACCTGTGGTGCCACTGGAACTGGGCAGTAGGACAACGTCATCTGGATGACTCTTCACTTGAGGAACAGGGGGCAGGAATCGGCCTTCTTTGATGAGGTCGGACAAGGTGAGACTCCCCTTCTGACCCAATGTGATGACTTGTCGCAATCCAGGGACTTTTCGAGCTGCGCCTTGCACCTTCTCCAAGATTCCTTCCCATCCAAGCACTATTTCGGAGCCTGAATCCAACAGCTGCCGTGCAATTTCCTCTGCGTTCAAGAGCAATTGGTATTAATTAGGTAAGATCGCAAATAGTGACCGGTAGGATTGCCAACTAATCCTCAAGCCAGACCTGAATATTTTTATTTTTATTATTTTTATTATTATTATTATTTATTATTATTTTTATTATTATTATTATTATTATTATTTATTATTATTTTTATTATTATTTTTATTATTATTATTATTTATTTTTTTTTTTTTTGGGGGGGGGGGGGGGGGGGGGGGGGGGAAATGAGGCAGAGGTGGAGCAGCCTCCCTCGGGATGCTGCGCGGGAATGGTGTAACTGCTATCTTCCTCTTTGGCTGCCTCTAATAAGCCTTCGTTAGATGCCTCATGGGATTGGATGAGTGCGAAGACTTAAGATTAGGGGACAGTCCGGAGTTGCTGATTCATGGTCCCCCGGCATCCGTTGCGAATTAATCGGGAGGGACATGAAACCGGGAGTGTTGGCAACCCTAATAAAGTGGAAATCACACCCTCTGTGTATGTTGGATTCGCCATGGTCAGAACTGCCCTCAGTCTCAGAATTGCCATGAGCCAGACTGCAAACCGGGGGCAATTAGGGGTGACGATAGCAGCCATACCACCCTTGCTGAGGAGACCCCTAGAATACAATGCCCTGGCCACGCACTCGCTCTCCTCCAGCACCTGCCTGCCACTCATCGTCTCTCCCGTTTTCGAGCATATCTTGTCGGAATGAAAGAACATGTTGCAGCTACCCTAATTTAGGAAATGATGGATTGCTGGGATTTCAGACTCACCAGAATGTCTTTGGAATAATTTTTTTGCAGTCCCTCGACGAGCATGTCGTAGAGATCAGAATGAGGCAGAGGTGGAGCAGCCTCCCTCGGAAGGAAAATCCCATCCTCGGTCCTGTAACTCAATGGATCTAACTTCATCTTGAAACAATATGAGCACTATATGCACAATAATGAGAAACGTAGACTTCTCGGCCTCACGAGTACGATGGCACTTATACAGGACAGGACCACTTGAGGTTCACGTTGCCGTCTGCATAGCTAACGTAATAGGCCCTGTCTGCACGGAGTAGTGTTTATCTCATTCGCCCGGACTGCTCTGTATCTCATGCTTGCTCCGGGCGTTCGCCCTCTTTTTTTTTTTTCTTTTTCTTTTTCCTTTTACTTATCTCTCACAGATCCATCTTTCGTGTCCACTGAACCCTCTAGAGAAAAACACTTAATACATTAGTCTATCTCTATCTCTGCGATGCAGAAGCTTTCAGATTCGAGTTTTAAGACTGTCCTTATGACCGTGAACCATTGAAAATACCCGTCCGCATAAGCTGTTCTTTGCGTTCTACTCGATAATCAGACTATTTTTCACTTGATTGGACAGCTCTTGCATGAGACGTTTCTCATACATCAGTGTCGAATTCAAGGGAGAAGTACTGCATCTACTATGAAAGTTGTAATCGAGTGGAGCCCGTATAGTATGTGATACGTTGCTTGAGACGAAGAGGAATTAGATGTATGATCTTTCGGACATCCCTGCCTGCCTGCCTGCCTGAACAATCTCCAATTGGCCACGTGCTCTCCACACGGGGTCACCACACTGCCAAAGTACACTTGGCCAAATTTGATTTTAAAAAAGTGGTCCGCATTTCCCCCATAGTAAATCATTGTAATGAGGACCGCATGAAAATACCCTTCGAAGAGCTAAGAAGACGCTTGAAGTTTTTCGCATGGGCCTAGGCCTTCTTTATCCAAGCAAACTCTGACCTATTATGGGCTAATCCAAGTTCATGACATTTACTGTTGAGGTTATGTTTACCCCAATAGTTGGGAAAAGAACTTCAGAAAATTACTCACTCTTCAAATTTTCAAAAACTTCAAAGTTCATCTGCAGCAGATGTGCATTGAGGTACTACTGACAACATCAGCAAATAGCTCACATGCATCACTATTGTAAAACTGACAGCCATTATTTATTAATAAAATAAAAAGTTCAGATGTGTGGTGAGGAAAATTTTGGAATCAGTGGTACCAAATAAAAATGAATACAGTTTGAATTTCTTTTGGAAGTGGATTCTATGACCAATGGGTAAGATCCTCACCCTTCTTTCTGTCAAAGGCCAAAGACTGAGAATGTAAACCTATTTCAGGAACAGCTGGGTCACTTATAAGATTGAAGATAATTGCAGTCAGGACTGTGATTATTTGGCATGCTTCTTCTGTCCATTCCAGGAAAGAAACAATATTAAAACACCTTTGAGGTGGAAAAATGTATTGACCCATTTGGCTTCATGCAATAGAAAAACTGACATGAATGTGAAGTACAGATAATTTTTTATCAGTTGTGGATAGAAATGAAGTGGGTACCATCCATAAATCCTGTGACTTGAAATAAGTCTCACTGCTGATGGTTGCTGCCATGGTTTATGAAGAATCATTAGAAATGGACAACTTACCCATAAGATGGAAGAGCAAGAGCAGAAGGCAGCAAATATGTTATGTCTTCAAACACCTGGAGGTGGAACCAGTCAGCTTGCTCTTCATGATGTCAGTTCAAATGACATATCTGATTGGCCAAAATATGGTCATACTCAAAGTCTGTAAGAATGATCTCAATTACACTGATGCAATTTGTGAGAACATGACTCATGGTGGACTTGATGAGAATTCAGAGTATCAGAACAATGTCCAGAAGGAGACTGCCCGTTTCAATGTATATAAATCAGTGGTTGAGAACCTGGTGCCTTTCTTCTTTGTTCTTTTCCTTGGTCCATGGAGTGATAAGCATGGAAGAAAAGTTCCTCTTGTGCTCAGTGTTTTGGGCACTCTCCTGAGCCAAGTTGGAGCACTTGTAAATTCTATTTTCATGCACTGGCCCAAAGAGTATTTATTTCTAATGGGCTCCTTGCCCTATTCCTTTGGTGGAGGAAGCATGTGTCTGTTCATGATGCTCTTCACCTACATCAGTGATACATCATCCATAGAGACACGAACAATTCGTGTTGCTATCCTTGATGCTTTTCTCTTTGCTGGATGGCCAGCAGGGAACCTTCTTGGAGCATATTTGTATAACTTGGATTATTCCAAGAGATTCATCAATGTCTACAGTGTAGTTGTATCCATATCTGCTGCCAACATCCTCTATTCCCTCGTACGTGTCAGAGGAAATACACATCTTACTTCAAAGGTAAGTTGCTTGCTGCATTTTGCAAATTTCTGTCTCATTTAGTGAAGTCAAGTAGGAATTATTTTGTGACTTTAAGGGAGTAAGAGAAAGTGGAAATATCCAAAGTGAGCTCCACAGTTCAGAGGGAAGTAGCAGTCATTCATGCTGCGATGTATTCGACGTGAGGAATGTCAGAGATGTTGTTGTTTCCTGTTCAAAACAAAGACCCCATCATCGAAGACTTGTTATATGGTTATTGCTCTTTATGCAATTCCTTGGCATCACTTCCATTCAGGGTTGGTTTCCAATTCACAAATTTGTCCTTAAGGAAGTATGACTGATCTTCAGTTGTCTGTTCCTTTTTCTCCACACAGGAGAGATGACTGCCAACTACTTGTTTGTGCAGAAGCAGTATGGATGGACAGAATGGGATTACAGTTTGTATCTTTTGATAGGATTTTTGTTCACTACAGTTGGGACTGTCTGTGGTGTCCCTCTCCTAACAAAATTTTTTCATGCTTCTGATCCCATGATGGCTGGCATTGCAACATTCTTCCAGATTCTCTCTCGTCTTGCATCTGCATTTGCCCCCACTGGTTGGTTCTACACAGCAGGTCTGAATCGTCTTCATTATTTGTTTTGTTAAAGACCACTGATGATGCATGCAGATGCTCATAATGAAGTTTTGAAACCTCTTGTGCTTAGCTGCCGTATTGACATTGTTCTCCCACGTGATGAGCTTTGTTGCCCGCTCTATGCTTTCCAAATGTGTCCCTCAGCAGGAGCTAGGTGAGTCATTTGCATGAGCATTTTCTAACAGTATGCCTATGGTTCTCATTTCTTGTACCATTTCTTTTCTGATATTTCTCTATATCAGGGAAGGTATTTGCGATGCTTGCTGTTGTTGAAGCCATTGTTCCCATGTTTGGTGGAAGCCTGTATGGAACAATATATGCAGAGACTGTGGATTGGTTCCCTGGGACCTTCTATCTCATCTCTGCATTTTTATTACTCATCTCTCAAGCATTGGGGTTGTAAGGGAATCAAGCAACTTTTATGCATACTTGTTGGAAGAAAACACAATTTTGAGAACCCTTGGGCCCAATGATATTCCCATTGAAGTCTGTGGAAATCGGTCACAGCCTAGTTGGCCCTCTGATTGAGCTTGTGTTTTGAAAAGTTTGAAAAGTTGAATTTCCCACCAGTTCAACATTGCAACAACAATCGGTCAGATTTTCAGGCACTGGGTATTGCATATAGCCCCCCTCCTCCTCAGCTCTAAACTATAAGAGCTAGGAAAAAAACTCATGTAGTGAGAAAGAGCATTCGTTCTTGAATCTGAATATGTTCTAGTAATTTTGTGTGAACCTTGACTATGTGTCGGACAGCTTTAAGATGAGTGGGGTAAGATGAAAAGAGATGCTTAAAGAGTTTGATGTCATCTTCCTTCAGCACTCTGGTGGTGTTGCTCTGCAAGGCTTCTCAGAAGAATCCATGCAGCTTGCCCTCCATATGCATGAAAGCCTCAATTTGATCTTTCAGGATGTTCCACAATGTTCTCAGCCACATTCTGATCAGGAGAGTTTCCTGGCAATCCCACATTTCCAAAGAAATCATTCCCTGAGTCTTTCAGCATTTGCTTTCTGGTCAAAGCTTTGGAAAACAGGGCTTTATCAGGCAGAAACTGAACATTTAATCTTTTTCAAAACCCATGAATGGGTAACAATTCAGCTCTGGCATCACAAGCTTCTCAAAACATAATAGCATGGATGCTATCAATGAATATAAGGTTTTCAACATCATACAACATCAGTAATAACAAACTGGGATTGAATAGAACCAAAATTGAACAAGGATTTCAAATTATATATACATTTACAAATTTTGTAGCTCCTATAGTATGGGGCTGTGGAGGGCAGGGGACTATCTATGTGCAACACCCAGTACTGTTTACACCCAGTACAACAGGGGAAGAAAAGAACTATAGATCCAACTGTTACTCATTCAGACTATATTTTAAAAGAATTTTGTGTGGGACAGTAAGGAGCCATAGAGCCTTTTCAAAACCTGGATCATAGGTTCGCCTAATATGCAGAAGTGACTTGAACAAACACCTTTCATAGAACTCACAATATGGAAATTTGGCCTGAAGCAGACAAAGGATTCCAAAACCATATCCAATATGGCTTTGGAACCCCATTTTCACCCCAAGAATTGGGGTGAAAATGGCAAATTTATGATTTTATAGTGCTTCCATGCCAATCATGACATCAATTGCTACTTGTCTAGTACATCCCCTATCACTTTTGACTTCTGACTCAAAGAAAACCTCAAGGGTTGTGACTCAATCCTGGTTATCACCATGTCTGAAGAAAGTGCATTGGGAATGGCAGACAATCTAGATTATGTATCAACCTATTTAGGCCTACCTAGCTTGGCCTGAATTTAAGCACACTAGCATCTACTAGTTAGTGAGTTGGGATCTATAGATAAGAATACTTACTGTTTGTTATTAGAGACAGAAGTTGCCAATTGAATCCTTTGACAGAGGCAAAGCAGTCAAGTGAGATTATGAGTGGGTCTAAATGTTTGGTTTCAACAAAAGTGTATGGGAAAGTAACAGTGGCATATTTTGGCTACGGGGTCAGGGGGCAGCACAACAGCATGGGGGTGCCATACCCTACCCTAGTGATATCAGGTGGGGAAATTAATTCATATTACCTCCAAGGGGATGCCATGCCCAGTGTCAGAGGGGGCAGCTGCCCCCACTGCCTCCCCCCTTAAAATACGCCACTGGAAAGTAGTTAATCTTGATATTGTAGTTAAAGTATTTTACATAATATACGGTGATTCAAGTCACTCCCTAATTTGTTTATTTTCATATTTCTGCATCTATTGCATATTTTGAGTAAGCTTTTATCATGTTAGTCAAATGGTGGGAACCTTTTTTGAAACACCTAGCTTCTACTTTCTAGACTGGCAGAAGGCCAGTCTTGCAGAAGTGCAAAATAGTTAGTTGGATGGTTGTTGTAGATGTTCAGTGATCTTTGTGCAGTGTGATTAGCGATGACAATTTGAAATTAGTGCCAATCCTGGTGTCAAAACCATATGAAATACGCATAGAAACATTCAAGGAAAAGTTAAGAGATCATCTTTCAACAGGGTAGGGTGCTTTCTTATTACTAACTCAACATGTGACAGCTCTTAAAATCATCTCTTACCTGACTGATGGATTGGGAGATGTGATTCAACTCCCTGGGCTCCTCAATCACCTAACCTGACCCCTTCTGATTTCACACTGTATGACTGAAAAATTTTAAAAATTGATGCCAAGTACAACATAAAAAAGGCACTTACTTTAACCCTTTGAGGAGTGGGTTATTCCTGGGGGAGGAAAGCATCAGCTCATAAGTATATTGGCTTACTTCTCAAAGGATTCAGCCTCTTGGACTGCATTTCATTATTGGATCAATTAGAAATGAAATTTGAGGTGCAATGCCATTATTGGATCAATTAGAAATGAAATTTGAGGTGCAATGCCATTATTGGAACTTTTGTGTTCCATATATCAAGAAGTATCAGGAAATCTTGGCAGGTTTTGGTTCTCATTGTTGTACTTTTTTCCAACAGGTACATTTGGGATTCAATGGATCCTGAGTGATGATTGAAAACAACTTTCTCGATTTTATGCTTCCCAGGTGGATATATTACCTCTCTCGAGTTCATGAAGTCTTCCCTTCAGGCAGGGTCTCAGATGCATCAGAACTTGCTCATGAAGCATAGTTGCTCTTCTCTAGTGACATTGTCCCTTTTTTATGTTATCAAACTTTGAATTCTTCTATTTTTAGTATTTTGACTTCAAAATGAAAAGGTTTCATATTTTTTAGTTCCTTGATGCAGTGGGCGATGCAAAGAAGTTATGTATCCAGTTTTTGCATTTTATGAAACCAACTAAAAATGGTATGTTTTTCATTTTTATTTTTCTAGCAGAGACATAATATTCTAAATTACTTTTCCTGAAAGTTTGAAGTTTTAGAAAGTTTTAATAAATAGCAGCATTCATTTTAAAAATTTGTTTTTCCCATATATTAAAAAAGATTCTGATTCCTCTATGTGGTTTCAGCACTGCTTGAGAGAATTCCTTCCTTTGATGCCACAAAGTCTTTCCTTATGGTTACATTCTTGTTTGTGCTCTGTCTGAAGACAGATGAGGAAGGAATACCTATATTTGTTTATGTGTTTTGAACAGAACTGAAGAGAAGAGAGAGGAGTCAGTTTCTAATAAAATCATGAACTCTGTGCACCCTCTTCCCAGTCTTGCCCTTCTTTTAAAATCAGGCAAGGACTTTGGATATCCTGAGAGACCCTCTTCAAGAAAACCTGGTTATAAGAAAATCCTCAGCCTTGCCAAAATGTCCATAGAAAACCCATGTAAAAAAAAATTGGAAATAAAAAAATCAGTTATAAGGAAATTTCAGCCATAACTAAATATTTTTTACTGTGCTCATATGAAAGGGGTTCCAGTTTTAATGAACTTTCCTTTGTGGCAAGTGGGGGATTATATTGAAATATATAATCCCCCTTTTTTTTTTCCTTCCTTCTTTTTTAAATTTTTCTTTTCCTAGAAACAAAGGGTCCAAGTTCTTATTTCATTTCTTCACCCCTACTTGTCCTTCAGCTATCAGTAGGCATTGGTTCATGTTGCACATTAGATCAGTGGCATTGTAATCACCCAACTAGCAAAGAAGATGAAGTGCATGGAAATGAAAATATACATTTTGTGCTAAGTTGAGGAAGGAAAGCTAAAGCAGAGCTTTTCTAGATTTCTGAAAAATATGATATTCCACCATCAGCCCTTTCTTCCATCCTCAGTACTAAAGAAAAAATAAGGAATTCTTCAATGCAGACTTTGCTCCCAGAAGAAAGAAGTTGAGAGAAGAAAAATATATGACAATGAAGAAGCTTTGTTTGAGTGTTTCAAGCAAGCACATGCCTGCAACATCATCCTTGATGGGCACACAATTCAGTAGAAGGATGCCAGAACTGGTGAAGGTATTGGAGATTGACAACTTTGAGTGTTTGCTTTAAGGACAGACATGGAATTGGGTTCAAGGAAGTTTGTAGGGAAAGTGAAAGCATGCCTGATGAAATCATCAACAAATGGAAGAATGAGACTCTTCTGAGCAGCTCTCGCCCAAATTACATTTTCAGTGCTGATGAGGCACATTCCTTCTCCAGCTTCATGCCCGATGCAACTATGCAGGTATCTCATATTATGCATGGCAATTAATCATACAGGTTCATTCTTCTATAATAATCCCATAGGCTTTACCTATGCTTCCTTTTAAACACAAGAGCAAACAATGATTTGAAGGCGACATTAAATCTGATGTTCTGCCTTTCCTGTACTCCTTGCTCTTTAGCTGAAGGAGGAAAGGGCATCAGCACAGCAAGTCAAGAAACCTTGTTGCTTCCATGGTACACAACAATTGCCTGCCAATTACTGCTGCTGTAGGATGATGACAACTCTCCCTTTCCAGGAATTTCTCTGATGCTTGAATGCAAATATTGGATGTAAGGGAAGGAAAATTCTCCATATACCATGGCCCTACCCATCCACAGGGCATCATAAAGCTGAGAAATGTTGAAGTGGTGTACTTTCCTGTTAATGCTACCAGCCAACTGCAGCCCTTAGACCAAGGTGTGATTGAGGGATTGAAGCAAAGTACTGAAAATGTCTCATTCAATCTCTCCTATGGCACTTACCCACACAGCACAGAGATATCCCAGGGATGTCCCTAACTGGACAGCTTGTCCCCTGATCTTCATAGGATATCCTGAGAACATCTTCTTCCTGACAGTTTCAGACACCTTGCAAGGGATGTCCTTGGGATATCTAAAAGACGTCTTTTTGACATCTTCAGTTGAATCTTAGTTGAATGCTTCTGGATATCCTGGAGGGGATATCTTGAAAAGGATGTCTTCGGGACATCTCTCTGTTGCCTTCAGTCAGGTGCATAGCTTCACCAGTAGATGTC